AGTGGTTTTGATGTAACATGCTGTTAGATTACTGTGCTACTATATTACATTCCCCCCACCAGCCTCTTACTGTGCTTTCTCTTCCTCACATCTCCTCTGTCACTTGAAATATTTCTGGAGGTAGAAGTCACCACCCCTGTCCACATCGAGCCATAGGTTCAGGGCATCCAGACAAGATCAAGGGATAGTTTGGAATGAGTTTGGCTCAGAGAAAGAGAGAACGCCACTCAAGTGGCTTACACGGATGGGGTTTGTTTTTTTCACTCAACAAGACACCTGGGGCTGCTCGCCTCGATGACATGATGGCGACGCACCTCCAGGTGCAGGGAGCAGGTGGGACAGGCGCAGGTGTCATCTTCTTAAAGCTTTCTCTTTGTTTGGGAAGGGGCTCCCCTCTGACCAGTCACTTCAGCCTTGTGGTGACGTGTCCTTGTGGCGGAGCTGCAGACACTTAGTTCTGGCAGCAGGGAAGCTGCTGTCAGGGAGAGAACCAGAACCAGCTGCAGGTAAACAAGTAAATAAACACGCAAGAAAATAAAATCTCAGGTTGAGATTGAACGGACCAGGGCTGCGATTATCAGGAGGGGAAACCCTCTCCAGGCAGTGACAACACCAAGCGTTAAAGATGACGTGGGCCAGCATGTGGAGATGGTGAGCATCTCAGGCAGCAGGAGCCGCCGGCAGGGAGGGCTCTGCAGGCCGCACTAATGGAAAGCAGAACAGAAAGCAGCAGGTGTCAGGGGAGGCAGGGAGGAGGGGCGGACATCTCCTTGAGGAATGAGCCGCCAGCCACAAGGGAGGGGGAGAGAAAGTCAGGCTCAGCATCTGTGGGGTGGTGAGAACTGCAGGCCTAAAAGGACCTTCACTCTCAGCCTGTTTTTTTATCAACTTTTTTGAGGTCTGACTTACATTAAAACGTACGTGTTTTAAGTTGCAGTGTGATGGGTTTTGCCAGGTGTATGCAGTGGCTCCAGTCTACAGAGCTTTCTGTCACCCAAGTGTGAAGACTTTTCGAGTCATGGTGGAAGGGGCCCTTTTGTGTTGGAGTGGGCTCCTTGTCTGAGGGCGGGCGGGCGCTCACCTGAGTGGAGAGGCCCATACCTGCCTAGAATGTGTGGGAGGGCCTGGCCGAGCTGTGGGTAAGCAACGTGGTGGTGTGTACCCGCCATGAGGAAAGGCCGAAGCTGCATTCCTGGCATATTCTTTCCCAGGGGTTCCCAGCTCTCTGCAATACTGGTGTGAGCCAGTTTTTTCTGACGGCCTCCAGCTGAAGCAGAATTTCCATCTGTGCAGTTGTCCTCAGCCAATTGAAAATCACCTGGAGGGCTGGCCCCGTGGCTTAGCGGTTAAGTTCGCGCGCTCCGCTGCTGGCGGCCTGGGTTCGGATCCTGGGTGCGCACCGCACCGCTTCTCCGGCCATGCTGAGGCCACGTCCCACATACAGCAACTAGAAGGGTGTGCAGCTATGACATACAACTATCTACTGGGGCTTTGGGGGGAAAA